TAGTGATGTTGCTACTTCTTCCTCGCCATGGGCAAATATTTTGGCTACGGAGAGGCTATCTACCCCTATTCAATCAAATCCAGCAATGAGAGCAGATTTGGCGGGGCTATTTCGGGATGTATTTCACCGTGAAGACCTAGTGAGCAATGAACCAGCTTGTGAACAGGATGGAAATGTCTTGGAGGATAGTGATGAAGAAAATGATGCTGATGAAGTAAGGGATGATCCATTGTACAATACAGGTGGAATAGAAGATTTGATAAAATATGTAGATGAGGAGCTATATCCGGGATGCAAGGCATTTTCAAAGTTATCGTTTCTGATGCACTTATATCACCTCAAGGTTCACAATGGATGGACTGCAAAATCCTTCACCATGTTACTTGAGTTGTTACTGCAAGCATTTCCGGAAGGTATATCCTTACCAAAATCTCATTATGCTGCTAAGAAGGTGGTTAAGAAGTTGGGTTTGGATTATGTCAAAATTGAAGCATGCCCGAATGATTGCAGTTTGTATTGGAATTCTACAAAAGACGCCGTTTCTTGTTATGTTTGTCGTAAATCTAGGTATGTTGTTGGAAAAATCGATGGACTCAAGGTGAAAGCAACAAAATTTTTGCGTTATTTCCTTTAATCCCGAGGTTACAAAGATTGTTTGCTTTTGAAAAGAAAGCAAAACACATGAGGTGGCATGATGAAGTTCGTAAAAAAGATGGATTGTTGAGACATCCGGCTGATGGAGAAGCTTGGAAATCTTTTGATGCTAGACACCCTAGTTTTGCTTCGGATCCACGCAATATCAGATTGGCTCTAAGCAGTGATGGGTTTACTCCGCATCGATCAATGAGATCAACCCATAGTACGTGGCCTGTGGTGTTGATACCTTATAATATGCCTCCTTGGATGTACTTGAAACAATCCTCTTTCATATTATCAATGATAATTCCTGGACCCAAAGGCCCCGGAAATAATATTGATATCTACTTAGAACCTATGATTGAAGACTTGATCCGACTTTGGGAGGGTGTGACTACTTATGATGCTTCCACTAAGCAGAATTTTACTATGCGTGCTTCTTTGCTCTGGACCATAAATGACTTTCCTGCATATGGTAACTTATCTGGATATAACACACATGGTAGATTTGGTTGTCCTGTTTGTTGTGAATCTACTTGTTCAAAATGGCTAGAAAAGAGTGGGAAGTTTTGTTACATGGCACATCGTCGTTGGTTGGATGAAAGTCATCCGTTTAGGATTCAGAGTTCTCATTTTGATGGGACGGAAGAGTTCGGGTCAACACCACAACGGAAGACGGGAAGTGAGGTATTGAGGTACCTAGAAAGCAGAGAATTTTCATATGGGAAGAAAAAGAAAGGTAAGAGAAAGAGGGGTCGTGATGAATCTGCAAAGTGGGAGAAATGGTGGAAAAAGAAGAGTATCTTCTTTAGATTGCCTTATTGGGAGCATAATCTATTGCGTCACAACCTTGATGTGATGCATATAGAGAAGAATGTGTGTGACAATCTCATTGGTACTTTGTTAGATCTGGATGGTAAATCTAAGGATAACTTGAATGCTCGTCGTGACTTGGTGGATATGGATATTAGAAATGGATTGCATCCTGAACTTTTGGCAAATGGAAGAAATCGATTACCTCCTGCTTTGTTCACAATGAAAAGAGATGAGAAACGTGTTCTTTGTGAAGCATTAAGCAGAATGAAAACACCTGATGGTTATGCCTCAAACATATCACGATGCGTAAACACCAATGATTGCAAAATCAATGGGTTGAAGAGTCATGATTGTCACATCTTGATAGAGGATATTCTTCCAGTCGTATTGCGAAGTTGTAGTCCATCTAAAGAGGTGACATATGTTGTGGTGGAATTAGCATCTTTCTTCAAAGGATTGTGTGCGAAGGTGTTGAGTCTTGCTGATCTCGAAAAGCTCCAGACTCGAATTGTTTTGAGTTTTGACTCTCTGTCACTTAGAGAAGACTTTCCTACCATCATTTTTTACTGTTATGGTGCATTTGTTAGTCCATTTGGTAGAAGAGGTAAAACTCGGTGGACCAGTTCATTCCAGATGGATGTATCCTTTAGAAAGGTAATGCTTAAATCGAGACCTTTTTAGTGCATATCAATGTCTATATGCATCATGACTAATTGGTCTAGTTTCCATTGTTATTGAATAGGTACTTTGTTCTCTTGAAATCCTTTGTTCGCAATCGTGCTTTTCCTGAAGGGTCGATTGCTGAAGAACACATTATGGATGATTGTATGTCATTTAGCTCACGCTATTTTGATGGAGTAGAAACACCATTCAATCGTCCATTGAGAAATCCTGATGCATCTGACAATGAGGAAGCAATTGATTTCAAGTTCAATTCTAGAGGACAACATATAGGAGAAGCACAAGGTTTTACTTTGAATGACAAAATGTGGGCGCAAGCACATCGTTATGTGTTGAGGCATTGTGATGAGATCAATGACTTAAGACAGTAAGTGTAATTGTTTAGATAAGTAATCAAATCAAGAAAATATTTAATTGTTATAGATGTGTTAACAATTTATATACTTTGATGCAGAGAGTTCATTGATTCCGAGAAGAGAAAAAGACGAGGTCATTCTCGCCTTCGTGCGGTTGACATAGATGAATTGGTGAATGCAAAGTTTCATGATTGGTTGAAAGGAAGGGTTTTGGGGCTGGATGACTCCAATATTTCAAGATATATTAAGACCCTATCTAGGGGTCCTAATCCGGTTGCAAGAAAATTTACAGGCTACACGAACAATGGTGTTAGATTCCACAAACTATTACATGATCAACACCACTCAACCCAAAATAGTGGTGTGGTCAATCGCACTGAAGTTGGAGAGGTGAACTATTATGGAAAAGTACAAGATATCATCGAACTGAACTACTAAGGTGATTTCAAGGTTGTCTTGTTCAAATGTGATTGGGTTGATGTTCATCACGACATGGGAATCAAGCAAGATGAGTTTGGCTTTACTCTTCTCAACATTTCACGGCTAATTCATACGGGTGATAAGCTTGAAGATGATCCTTTCGTATTCTCTTCTCAAGTTGAGCAAGTGTTTTATATTGAGGATACCAAAGATAGTAATTGGGTTGTTCCGGTTAGAGTCAAGCCTAGAGATGCCTATGATATGGGGATAGATGAAGTTGATTCTTTTTCAAATGTTATTAGTAACATGAATGTCCAAGATCAACCTAATTGGGTGCGAGATGATGTAGACGAGGATGTAATAGTGTAGATATGTGAAAAGAGCTACTCTCTGGCGGAATCTGCTCTTGTGGTGATTACTGGTGAAGAAGGCAGTGATTTTTTGGTTAAGTTGAAAAAATGTGTTTCTATGGTTCAACTTGTGGAGCAGTGATTTTTTGGCTTTGAGTCAGTTGTAATGTCTTGAGATCTGAGTGTTGACTTGATCATTCACAACCAAATCAGTGTTGGGGAAATTGTTGCTTCACTTCGGGTGTCCTTCCTTTTCATGTTGATTACGTATGGTTCTCGTTTACCCATCTCTTTTTCTTATGTATGTAATTCAGGTTGGTATAGGAGAAGGTATTTCCCCATCAGCGGCAACCGACCTGATCGCCAGGCATGTTTCATGTTTTTGGCGAGAGAGCTATGGAGTTGCATATGCAGAGATTTTTACAGGCTAATGGCTTGTTCTGTTCCGGGGGTTCTTTCGGGCTAACTATGTGGTTTCTCTGAGTAATTTTAATTTAAGAAGGGTGGGGATTGGGGAGTAAGTCAGTAAGACTTGTGAAAAGCAATGGGTGATGGACTAATGGGGCGTCCTAACAATTCCAGAAAGCCCAAAAAATTAATAATATTTATTTTCACACTTAAGCAATGGCTGAATCTTTCTTTCTCCTTCACCGTGGCCTATTCTTCCCCCACACCAATTCTTCTCATTTTCCTCTTCAAGCTTCTTTGTTATATCTGCAGTTGAAGTTGGTATCACACATCTCACAGAAGCTAACCTGCTATTTTTGTTGCTCTGCAGTCTGCACTCCTTCTAACATCTAGATGTATTTCTCCATCTGTGAAGGTTCCCTAGTTCTTATTGTTATCCTAAATTTGTGAAATCTTGAATTTGTTCAGGTTGTGTATGATACGAATAGATTCCTAGAAAAGAGACGGGATCCACTGCACTCTGACTTCATCCAGCTACTATCGTCAAGCAACTGCAAGCTTCTGCAATCGTTTGCTTCCCAAAAGCCTGATCAAACTCTTAGATCACTAAGAAGTTCGTTATCACAACCAGGTGGACCGGAATCTTCAACACAAAGTGTTGGAACAAAGTTCAAGGTAAAGAAGTGTATCTTAAATTTTGATCACTAATGACTATCCATTATGAAGTTCATCTGTCTAAACTTTATACCAAGTCCTAAACCTGGGTTCCTCTATTTGCTTGACGTTTACCTGTTGCTGAAGTAACTATGTGACACTTAACCTCACGTAACCTGGGCTGTGGTACTGTTATTGCCACGTAACGCTTAATATATAACTTTATAAGCTTGCTCTGTGACCTGGAGTACTGTTTCTTCTGTCTTTTTCAGCCTCTTTATGTCTTTCCTCTTACTGTTGTTGTTTTCATGACTGCAGATGGTTTCAAGTTCAAGGAATCTAAGAAATTTGAGAATCGTTACTGAATCTGATGCTCAAGAGGATTTTCAGCATGGACACCCATCGTCTCAGCATGAGGAAGGGTCTCAACATGAGGAAGGGTCTGCTAGCATAGGTACTATATGGAATATCAAAACTTACCCCTTCCTTTCATCCTTGCTTGCCCTCCTCTGCCAATTAACTTGAAGACATAGTAGAACCCTATAGCTACCTAACTGCTTTAACCCTATAAGGGTATTTGGGTTGCTGTGCAATTTATTTAATTTTTCATTTGGGGTCAGGTGAAAATTGCAGAAATCAGAAAACACGAGGAAGGACGAGGGTGCAAGATGTATGGAACATGGATGCAAGTGAAAGGATCGAATTGGATATTGATGAATTTGGAGTTCCGTGTGGTGGCGAGTCATCTCTTTTTGCATCCTTTCTTGGGACGATTTCAAAGAACAACACCTTGACTCCACTGTCGATAGAGCATTGGAAAAGAAGAGAGTTTAAACCATTTCACCGGAAAATACTGAAAATCACCAAGGTAAAACACTCTCCTGCTCCAACTTCCACTCTCAAGCCTTTTAAGCCGCTCTTCTCGGCCTTCTGCATTTTTTGAGCTTCATCACCCTTTCTGATTTAGTAGTAGTGTTCTCTAACAGTATACCAGAGATTGAGATAAACAAAAGCCCAAGAAAAACAAGAATATTTTATCAGTAGCTAGCTAGCTAGACTTTTGCCTAGCTACCTAGCATTATTTTTAATGAAAGAAAGGCGGAAGCATAACTTGGCAATTGGGGAGCATTTCCTTGGTGTATCTGGAGGGATGCAGAACCCATGTGTATCAAATTTCAATATGGACAAAAGTAGAAGTGAAACAGATAGTTTTAGGGGAAGTTTATGAACAATAAGTTACAGATAGCTGCAGTTACAGCGGATTATCTGGTTAATTCATTACTATAAACTAGGAACCTGGAGTCGTTTCAATATCTGTGAATTGTTTTTGCTGCAGTAAAGAATATTTACATCAATGGCAGCTACCTAGCTAGTGGCCTGTACACTAATGAAACTGTTATTCAATTATCTGTTGTGGGAACTAATTGATCAGTAGCTAGCTAAGGATCTAATATATCACTTCGTACTTTCATGATGCTGCACTTGGTAATTGTTGTTGTTTCTTCTTTGTTTCCTTGTGTGTAGTCAAAGTTTTGGTATCCTGCCTATCTGGACAAGTGGATTTTGCAAGCTGTTAACCGGAAGTGGGCAGAGTTCAAGTGTGATCTAAAGAACAAGCACTTTGGATTTGGGAAAACAGTGGAGAGCATTATGGCTGAGGGACTCCCACAAGGTGTTACCGATGTAACTCAGTGGTACACCTTGGTAGCTAGCTGGTTTACAGAGAAAAGCAAGGTAAAATTACTAACGGTTTACCAACAGTGGAAACCATTATGCGTAATATGTCTTAGTTTAGATGCACATGATGAAAAACTGATTTTCTCTTCCAGAAAATGAGTAAAGTAAACAGCGACAACGCTAAGAAGAAGAAGTTGCATCACACGGCAGGAAGGAGGAGTATTGCAAGGATAAGAAAGGAATTGGTAAAAATTTAACCCAGTTTAGCTCTAGACAATTGTTGAACTTGTCTATGTTGTTCTAATTTCGAATATGTTAATGCTTACAGAGGGCAAAATTAGCCAGAGCCCCTACTAGACTTGAAGTTTTTGAAGTTCTCCATAAGAGGAATGACGGAACATACATTGATGACTATGCTAAGGATTTCATGGTAAGACCAATACTTTTCTTTGATTCTACTAATTTATTATGCTGCATTCTGATTCCTGTGCATTTTTAAATTGTTGTTTCATAAAGGATAAAGCAGCCGAAATGGAGGGCCCTAGGGAGGAAGTTTTTCAGAAGCTAGCAGGCTCGGAGCATAATGGGAGGCTCCGATGCATGGGGTTAGGGCCAACTCCGACCACGTATTTTGGAGTGTGCTCAAGAGGGGCTGCATGTGGATCGTGTTCGGCTGGTCATTCATGTGCAGATGCGACTGCTTTGAAAGAGGAGTTAAGGGAGGTGAAGAAACACATGGATGTCATGGCGAGGTTCATCAGTAGACAGTTTCCCGGACAAAACTGGATGGAAGATGCTGAAAACAATCATGTAATTTTCCATCTGTCTTTTTTCATAGTCAATTACGTCTGACTGTTTTTGTTCTGAGATTTATACTCTGCTCGGGGTTTTTGCTTGCTATGCTGCTCTCCATGGCGGATTTTGTGTAAAAAAGAGGATGCTAAAGAAACTAGTCTCTTTGATGCATAGTGAATCTTTAGCTATAGTTCGATATGCAATTTCATAGGGAAGTCAGGTTTCCAGGAGGGACATCTGCTAGTGAGGTATGCTCCTAGTGGCTGGGAAAATCACCTCAGCAGATTGCAAGATATTGATAGATAGAATAGGGTGTCCAAAGACTGCAGACGAACAGGTGAAAGTTAGCTTCTTGCTTGTTGGAAAAATGGAAAAATGGATGCACAGGTGAAAGTTAATAAAGTGATGTAATTGAACACTCAGACTCTGTTGAGTTTGTATTCAGTCAGTTTGTACAATGAGAGTATAGGTACTGGGAGTGGGAGAGCTATAGATGTTCTGTCCAAGGAAAGAAAGAGGGTTTAGGGTTTTAATAAGTTACAGTACAGAGAGAGTTGAAGTTTCAGGGAGGAAGCAGTAATGTATTAATTCATGACACTGCTAATTAATGTTGACAATTAGCTTCTTGCTTGTTGGAAAAATGGATGCACAGGTGAAATTTAATAGCTTCTTGCTTGTTTTCTTAGGCCAATTAGCTCTTGAATTAGTGTTGACAATTATTTTCTTTTGTTAACAGGGTGTCACTAGTGAAGCTGCTCCGTCAATGGGTTCTCGAGCTTCGTGATCAGATGGTGTACATGTCTTATATGAAGCATTTTGGAAATGATCGACTCATGTAGCTTTTAATCGGTTTCTTTTGAGTACTCAAAATATCATGAACATAACATTTTCCCTTTGATTATGTTCGAATGTTTATGGTGACTAGTATATAGTCATGTAAAGTTCACCATTTTGGATGATGAATCATATTATGTTGTGATTTAGGATATGAAGTGTAATATGGTATTTTATGAATTTTAGTAACTAATCTGGATTTGTTTTTAATGACTAGGCTATTAGCAACCAAGCTATAGTTACAAAATCTGTTGCTTAGCTTTAGTAACGACTTTAGCCACCGTTTTGATTTTGACACAAATGTTTCCCAGCTTTAGCCACAAGCTGTGCAAGGGTTTTAACCCTTGTTACTATCCCCTATTATATAAAATTTGCATAGGCGTGTAGCAAGGGTTCAAACCCTCGTTAGATGTAGGAATGAATCTTCCAAGGGTTTTAAACCCTTGCTAGAGGGACTGGTACTTGAATTTTACAAAGACAAATACCAAGGGTTTAAACCCTTGCTATACCCGCTGCAAAGAACTTGCACCAAGGGTCACCAATAACCCTTGCTACACGTAGCAGGGGGGCTTTGCCAAGGGTCCAACCAAGGGTTGTATGAACCCTTGCTACATCTTTTAGCAGGGGTTAAAACCCTTGCTACGAATAAAAATAACCCTTGCCATAGACCCTATTTTTTGTAGTGGCCACGTTGATAGCTTTTGATGGAGCTCCAAACTGCTGCTATAGCTGTCTGCATAAACAGCCATTAATTAGTCAGGACGTTCTACGGATTAGTACTTCAGTGGTTGTTATGATGATCCGTATGAGGACAAGTGGAGTCACTCTGATTTCAAATGTTCGAGCTTCCTTATATATATACCGAAAAATTACACTACTACTTTTATAATTGAGGAAAATGTTGATATATTTACAGGGCCGGTCAGGTCACATCCAATATTATTACTATTTACTTGATTGGCACTATTGCAATGAATTCTCCTGTGATCATACTATCGCAACCCTCAAATGATTGTCCCTAAAGTAGTAGTACTCCAACTACTGCCTTTGACCAATTATATAAAATTTAATTTGACCATGACTTCAATGTGTAAACGAATTGACTCTGATACATGGCATTCTCATATTTTCATGTAACCATATAATAATTTGGGTCAAGGAGTCAGCTCTGGTAACAAAACCCGCATGATAATGACGCCTTTATATCATCTTTTTTTCTTAAAAAAAAAAACAACACATTTTGAAGGATAAAATTGTTTGGGAGGAGGTAGATTTATCGGCAAACTTGTAGTTTCACCCTACTTTGGTAGGAAGATAAAGATTGATTCAAAGTCGAGTGCTTGAATTTTAGCGACTTGCAGACATTAATTATCCCAAACGAAAGTTAATTAATATTTGAGCTGAGTTGCAGAAGCACTCGTAGTGATAAATATGTGACGATTATATGTATAAGTTAATGTGAACAATAAATTATTTTAAAGAGGTGTTTATTATTCAGCATAACTTATCATCAATATTTGATCACTACAATAACAATACCACTAACAGTTACTAATACGGTCCAAAGACTTGTTAAGAGCGTTGTGCTAGATATCTTGAAATTTGATGACTATATTATCAGCTGAGTAATTCAATCTGAGCTTCAAAAGTTTTTTTTTTTTGTTGTTCTCTATTTAGCTTTTATGTCGACCAACTCAAGATTTGCCAACACGAACAATGTCCCCCTGTTAAATGAGTAAGCAAGATGGGTCAAGGAGAGTAAGCAAGGGAAGAATAACCGTCGATGGAAGAACTGAGGAAATTACGAATAGAGTTGAGAGGGTAATATCTTAGAGAGAGAAGTTGATAATCTTAGAGATAGAGTCAGAAAATCCGATCCCCTCACCCACCGGAGTAAATGCCATATTTATAGGCTACATGGTGGTGGGTGAGTGGTTGAGCTACATGATGGTACAATGACATGACCACTGACATGTCAGGGATTTAGGCCATGACCATACCTAGGACATGTCAGAGGCTTACCTATGACTGTGTTAGGGACCCTGATGTGACTACCCCTCGGGAAGCGAGACGACGCTTTCTGCGGCTCTTTGGTCTGGTCCACGCTTCGATCCTTCCACATGCACATAGCATGTGCCGCGCTCGAGGTCTTCGCGCCGGTCCGCCCTCACGGTGTCGCGCTCGCTGGGATCTTCGCGCTGGGTAGCGTCGGTGCGTTCCTCTGGCGCGGCTAGGTCCGAGTCACATGCCCAACAATTGCCCCCCATCAGGGGGTGTTATGTGAATACCACCTGTTTAGATTTCCGCTTGATTGACTCGAGCCTGCATGATCTCTGCGGGGTAAATTTTCCGGGTCCGTTACCGATCGCGCTGATCTCCGCCTGATTGGAGTCGTGTTGATCGCGCGGTTTTCATGGGATTCTTCACACTCGTTGTGCGCGTTACTTTGAGCTACGCGCGACGCTTACGCTTGAGGTTGTGTTAATCGCGCGGTTTCCTAGGGATTCTTCACTTGGTGTGCGCTCTACTTTTAAGTTGAGGGTGGGTCGCTCGAAGTTGGGCTTGGGGTGTTTTTTCTTCCTCGCGGGTATGCCCCCCGTTGTGCGCGTTACTTTGAGCTACGGGCGACGCTTGCGCTTTTTCTTCCTCACGGGTATGCCTCCCGTTGTGCGCGTTACTTTGAGGTTGGTGCGCGCTACTTTTAAGTTGGGCTTGGGATGTTTTTTCTTCCTCGCGGGTGTGTCATGCCCCCCAGGCGGTGCGCGACATTTGTGGCGTCATCGACTAGTACCTATGATGGTAGGTATCCACGTGTCCCTGTATGATTGGGCTACTTGGGCGGGGATTTTTTGAAATTCGAAAAGATTTGGTAGGATCTGACGGTTACGGATCCCTATGTGACTTTAACTCTTCGTTTTCCCCTGGCCGACTATAAATATGGGCTGGCTGTGGGGGAGTGGGACTCATCTGTTTCCTCCGACTCTGCTTCCTGCTTCTTCGTTCTGTTTCTTCGTTCATCCCTTCTCTGAGATTCTTCTTCTCTGTTTCTCCTTTTGCTGTTGCTAAAACTCGAGTTATTATCATGGCTAGCATCAACATCGACGAGACCGAGGTCGTGCAAGGCGAAGAAGGTAATCTCTCCCCTCTTTCGCACACTTCTACTGATCGTTCGTTGGAATTGGGCGATTCCGGTGATGGGGACGGCGGCGGTGACGATGGGGTTCCGGCGACGCCATCGTTCGACATCGAGTCGGAGGATGACCTCGGCGGCTCTCCCGACGTGGGTATGGTTGCCTCCGGGAGCGGGCATGCGAGGTGGAGTTATGCTCTGCCATTGGTCGGTTTTTTTTTTTTTTGCTTCTCTACTTGGCCCCACGGTGGGCGCCAATTGTTTGCGCCTAACTGGGTATAGGAGTGAGACTCGGGAAGATGGGTCAAGGAGAGTAAGCAAGGGAAGAATAACCGTCGATGGAAGAACTGAGGAAATTACGAATAGAGTTGAGAGGGTAATATCTTAGAGAGAGAAGTTGATAATCTTAGAGATAGAGTCAGAAAAATCCGATCCCCTCACCCACCGGAGTAAATGCCATATTTATAGGCTACATGGTGGTGGGTGAGTGGTTGAGCTACATGATGGTACAACGACATGACCACTAACATGTCAGGGATTTAGGCCATGCCCATACCTAGGACATGTCAGAGGCTTACCTATGATTGTGTTAGGGACCCTGATGTGACTACCCCTCGGGAAGCGAGACAACGCTTTCTGCGGCTCTTTGGTCTGGTCCACGCTTCGATCCTTCCACGTGCACATAGCATGTGCCGTGCTCGAGGTCTTCGCGCCGGTCCGCCCTCACGGTGTCGCGCTCGCTGGGATTTTTGCGCTGAGTAGCGTCGGTGCGTTCCTCTGGCGCTGCTAGGTCCGAGTCACATGCCCAACAAGACTAATTTTAAGGACTGGAAAGTGAATATGATGATTCTCTTGGGCTGCATGGATATAGATTAAGCTTTCAGAATTCCCAAACCCGATGAACTCACCGAGGGCAACACTCAACAAGATTCGATTTATTATGGTAAGTGGGAGGACTCAAATAGGTTAACTCTTATTATGATGAAAAGTTGTATTCCATAAGCCTTTAGAGGTGTAGACCTGTAAGTTGGGTTGGGTTGGGTAATTTTGGGTTGGGAATCTTGGGTTACAGGTCAATATGGGTCGGGTCATGTTGGGTTGTTTAATTTTGGTTCAATTATTGATCAAACCCATTGGATTTCAGGTTGGGTTATCAGCATACTCAGAAACATAATCAAACATGCTTCATAAATTTTTAAAGAACACAAATGTTTATTCAAAGAATCGGTCTAGCAGGTCGACCCACTAACCTATCCGATCCACCTCGATCAAAAAAACTACGGATTAATCGGGTTCGGATCATTTCAGTTTCAGATTATAAAAACATCAACCTTTTTTTTTATTTTGGGCAGGTACAGGTCGGGTCAACAGATCAAATTGTGCTTTGTCAGATCTAGAGGTGTGGACACAAATGAGGTCAAATTTATAAATGTTTTCCCAAAACGATAAGGCTGAAACAAGTACACTTGTAGCAAGCTTGATTTCAATGAAGTCTGAAGGACAGGGGGTGACGTTCGGGTGTATATTATAGAGATGTCTCATCTTGCTTAAAAATTTAAGGTTTTTGTTGGGGGTATGGCTCAGATCTAGTCGCGCCAACGAGACAGACCAACGTTTACCCTAAGAAGAACGACTCGCGCCGGTGCAGCCGCGGAAAAGCCCCTCTCGCGGAAGAAAGGTACTCGCGGCTGAGGTTTCGGGCCATAAGACGCGCCTGCGAGTACCGAAGACAGATTCAGTAGTCATGTCACCATTAAATATCTACCCACCACAATGTAGCCTATAAATAGAGCATTTACTCCGGTTAATAGAGGGGATCG